CAGGAAATGCTGGATAACTTGATCCTCAGCATGCCCAGGAGGATCTCCGCATGTGTGCGAGCCAGAGGAGGGGTTATTTTGTATTAGATAAACAACAATTTATTAATAAAAGGTTTTAAGTTTGGTTAAAATATCTTTTTATTTCTATCAAAGTTCTATTACAATCACCTTAGGATTGAATTATTAATTTTTTTATACAAAAAATTAAATTAGTCTTATTTTTTAATTTCAGAAAGTATATTTACTTTGAATATTATTGTTACTTGTTTATTTATTTTTTGTTTTGATTGACATACATCTTTTGACCTAACCCTAAATGTATTTTATAATTGCTTAAAGTATTATATGAATTAATTTTAAATTATGTATTTTTTTAACTTATTTAAATTTTCTATCTATCTTAAATTGTTATCCAATTGTAATTTTATCAAATTTTAAATTAATATTTGTACACATTTATTATAATTTGCAATGCCCTTGCAGGGCTCATGTTTGTGAGCTGTTATTAAATTTAAGAACTAAATGTAACCAACATGAAGCAATAAATATTACGACTATGACTATGACTATTTTTAAATAAAAAAAAGATATAACGTAAAGATTTTCTCTTGATTAAGTTAAATTTTGAAAATATATCAGCATTTGCAATTGATCTCAAACTTTTTTTGATGTGTGTAGGTAAGGAATTGATTTAACTTCACATATTTTGCGAAAATTGAGGCCCATCTGTAGCCTTGTCTCTGGTGTTAACTTTTCTATATGTCTAGAAAATTAATAGTTTAGACCACCGTAAGGTACTTATTAATTCCCACGATATTAACTCCCTTACTGAAGTAACAAGACTGCGGTATATACCGTCTTATAATCCTAAACTAAAAGAGTGAAATAAAAAAAACAAAATTTAAAAAATCAAAAAACCCGACTGCTTTAATATCACATCATATAAACAATGAAAAGATAAAACAGTCGGGATCCATTACTCTATCGAATGGGTCCCGACTGTTAAAGTAGCTTTGCTTAAAAAAGGATTCTTAACAGAATTATAGACTACTGAACGTATTTTTTTCTTTTCAATATTTATTTAATGTGTTAATTAGGCAGTCGAGTTTTATGATTTTTTAAATTTATCTTTTTTTAATAAATATTATATTGTAGTATGTGCGGTGCATCACATACCTACCGGTAACAGGTGGTTCTTCTTCTTCATCATCGTTTCCTCATGGCTGAGGGTCGTGACCTTTCAGGACAGCACATTTCACCAACGATCTCCAGACCGTTCTGTGTTCTGCAAGGCGGATGGACGCCTGCAAGTTGCCATTCGTAGTTTCTTTAACTATGTCCAACCACCGGGATGGAGACCTGCCCCTACTCCTCTTGCCTTCCACGTTTCCCAACAGGTGGTGGTTAGTGTAATATCCTATAGTATGTAGGACAGCTGCGAATAAAGGGAAACCTAAAGAAGCAGTCCGGGAACAGAGACAGTACTTCTGGTTACCAGGGAATGCTGAACTCAAGAATGGCACTATCGCATTGCACGCGTTCTTGTGATGGGTGGGTGCCCCTTTTACTCCGGGGAACCGCACATCGGCGTAGGGTCCGGGAGAGGACAATCACCGGCGGGCGCATGACCAGAATGGTACCTCCAGTGGGACCACTGGACCGCGGTCCTCGGGATAGGTGTCGGGGAAAGGTACTAGAGTAGTGTTTGGTTTTTACTGGGTAGGGCCCTGCCTGCTTCACTCAATCGAGAGGCTGGATGAAGGGGGTGGGGAAGTGTCCGCAAGGGTCGCTTCTACCGATGGGCGGAGAATCCGTAACGGATTTTCCAAACATTAAAAAAAGGACCGATTTTTAAGAGATCTAATTTTTTCGATTTGTCACCGCCCTGAATAGCATTATAACTATTAAAATATCGGAAAAATCAAGGAGAAAAATTATGCAGAAAATCAATTTTGAATAAATAGATCTAGTTTAGTATTCCGCCATCTTCCACAATTGACAGTGACAGTACGAAAGACAGCTGCGAATAAAGGGAAATTAAAAAAAGCAGCCCCGGACCAGAGGCGGTATGGTTACCGTTGCGTGTTGGAGGATTTAGAGGTATGGATTCATCACAACCTTGAGATATGGCAAGCAAACAACGCCATTAAATAAGTGTTGCTCTGGGAAGCAGCCTCCTAGTAACTAGGAGGGCCGATCACACGGAGAGAAGAACGGCTGCCTAAAGTATTATCTACAGGTGACAATAGTTTGTTTTTTTTTTTAAATGATAAATTGCAGGTTTTAATAGTATTTATTGACGTTTCTAAAGCTTTTGATGTTTTAAATTATGAGATATTATATAAAAATATAATGCCGAATGGTATATAGGGCCGCGCTTTAGAATTATTCAAAAATTATCACGAACAGATTTGCTACAGTCAAAATTTCAAATAAAGTTAGTAGTATGACTCCAATTGATAGGGGCACGGCTCAAGGCTCCATCCTTGGCCCAACTGAATATTTACTCTACGTCAATGATATGGTGAATTTAATAGGCATGGACCATGTATACCAGTTTGCGGATGATACCTGCCTGGTTGTAGCTGGCAAAAACATTACAGAAGCTCAACAACAAATGCAAAACAAAGATTTGTTATGTAAATGGACCCACGATGTGGGATTAGTGCTAAATGCTCAAAAAACTAAACTTTTGCATATTCACTCATCCCACAACGTGAGCACCACAATTCCTAAAATTGTTTCACATAGCCATGACTGCCTCCACGCACCGGTGCCGCAATGCACTTGTGAATATATTGAAAATGTTAAAAGTCATACTTATGGTGGACTTGTGATCGATCGCAGACTCAGCTGGGGTCCACATATAGACCATATCTGTACAAAGTTAAGATCTATACTTAGTCAACTCACAATCCTGAAACATAAGTTACCTTACAGAATTTTAAGATTAATATATTTATCACTAGCTGATTCTGTCATTGGATACGGTTTGAGTAGCTATGGTAGATCATATCATATTTACCTGCAAAAAATATATAAAATACAACGAACAATGCTTAAGACTATTGTACCATTAAAAATTTAAGTTAAAGTACAAAGATGACGATAAAGGATTATTTAAGCACTGTAATGTAATCAATGTATATGATAAAATTAAGTATTTCATCCTTAAAGAGCAGACTGAACGAGACATATTGTTAATCCATTATCAAAGACCATTAAATCTTAGGAACTTAAAAAACAATAATTTATTTATTACTACAAAGTACAACAATATTTATGGTACCAGAACTTCTATGTATTTGTTACCCTTATTCACCAATGAACTACCAGAGGCTATTCAAAATAAAATAAAAATTTCTAGACCCTTTATTAAAATGTTAAAAGAATATTATTTGGAAAACCAGACAGGCTGTTTGGTGTGACTGACTCTGCAGCATAGATAAATCCTTAAGGTTTTTGTGCTGTAATGATGTTTTTATTGTATGCAAATTAATTAATAAATAAATTGAAAAAAAAACCATATCAGACGGCTCCAGTACTGCGATCGATCGATTGATGAGAAGAGAATAAAGGAAATATATTAGTTTGACTATACATATTTGTATAATTAAAACTCTTAGAAACTAGAAAATCACTTTTCTTGCCTTTGCGCTTGCGAATTTTCTTATTAAATCGGAATAAGTTAATCCTTGGGCAATGTCATTTTCTATTGATAGAATTGCAAGATCTGACAGTCTTTCTCGACACATTGTCGAAGGTAAGTACGTTTTAATTAGTTTTAATTTCAGGTCAGCAAAATCCGAAGCACTGTCCACACATTCGGGAAATTATCTTGCCAATCATTTTTTTTTTAATACTGAAGGACTTTTATTAGCTCTGCTGATTCAAGGTTTTTTAATAATGGATCCATCCTCAAAAGTTCTTCAACAAATTCACAACTAGACACATCACATATTTCCCCATCAGTTAAAATCAATTGCAAATCTGCACAGGCTTTTTCTAATAAAGACTTATCAGGAATTATTTTGATGTTATACAAAAAATACTATGTACGTGGGTAACACTGAAAAAGTTTAGAACTGTCTAGTTAGAAACATTGCTAATGAAAACTTTTTTTGAATTTCAATTTTAGAACTCTCTGATAACCTAAGGTAGTATATTGCATTCATTTGTTTTTGTGAATTGGCGGCAAATCTAAAACTCTTGTTACACGTGAAAATGAACCAAACGCGAGAAAATTTTCGGTCAATGATTTATTATGAATTTTCGTTGTGGGCTTACTCAACAACAAAGCTATGATAGGCTGCGATTAGCATTTCTTAATGAAGCCACATCTCGTGCCACTATTTACAATTGGTTTAACGAGTTTAAGCGTGGACGTAGCTATCTCAATGACGATCCACGTGAGGGACGACGGAACAGCGACTACTGAAGATAACATCAGTGCTGTGCGACGCATGATAGACGAAGATAAGAGAGTGACCTATCAGCAGATCCGAGCAAGCCTAGGCATTGGTATGAGTCAAGTTCAAAAAATATTACACGAACATTTAGGCGTCAGGAAGCTTTGTACCAGATGGATTCCCCATACTTTAACCGACGACCAGAAACACCTTCGCATGGACTGGTGTCGCCAAATGTTAGATAAGTTCAACGGTGGTACCTCAAATGCTGTATTTGACATCGTCACAAGGGCCCACTGCTTTTCCCAGTGGTTCCATCGAAAGCGATGATGTGTAGAGAGGAACGGAGATTACTTCGAAAAACAATAAAAGTATTGAATTACGTAACGACATGTAAAACGAATCTCTATTTTTTAGGTTAACAGATAAAAAATACAGTGCACGAAAACGATAATGAATATGCCTAATCTTATTATCCAAAGTACTACTAAACCTTATCTAAAATATATAAGAACTAATCGTTTTCATACGGTTATGCATTATTGAAGTGAACATTAAATAAGTAGAATATTTAAGTTGTGTTTCCATAATATGTCTAATATTCCGCAAACTTCAGTGTTGTTATTATTGTTATCAGTATGTAGAAACGATGCAGCAAGAATATTGGCGGTTTATCCCACTCCTTCTATCAGCCATCAAGTGGTATTCCGTCCTTTGACACTAGAACTTCTCAAAAGAGGTCATGAATTAGTTGTGATCACAACAGACCCTATATTCCCGAATGGGAAAGCGCCAGCAAACCTCACTGAAATAGATTTCCACGACAAATCCTACACATTATGGAGAGAACATTTCCTGAAATCTATCGTTAACCAAGGAACCAAAGAAGATTCTATGGAGAAAGGCTTATTGATGTATTATACAATGTTAGAAATATTTAAAGAACAAATAACCTCTAAAGAAGTACAGACAATTTTGAAAGATAAAAGTAACAAGTTCGATCTACTCCTACTGGAAGCTTATTTTATCCCCGCATTAGCTTTGACTCATTTTATCAAAGCACCTGTAATACAGATCAGCTCCCTTGGATCCACAGTAGAAAATCTGGCAATAGTTGGTGCTTCTACGCATCCACTTTTATTTCCTACCATGGTTCATCAGAAAATATACAATCAGACGATGTGGGATAAGTTAAGAGAGCTTATCGTGTACTGTTACTACACATTCTTTGTTGGCGAAGTTAGTGCAAAAACCGAAAGATTTCTCAAGGAAACGTTTGGACCTGATTTGCCCGATACCAGTCAATTAAGGAATAACGTCGATTTGGTTTTTCTGAACGTGCATCCGATTTGGGAAATGAATCGCCCTATGCCTCCTAATGTCATATATACAGGAGGACTACATCAAAATCCTCAGAAGGAACTGCCTCAGGTAATTTGGTTAAAATTTTTTGAGATGTATCAATTTAGACGAAAAAAAACACTATAATATATATTATAAAAACCTTGATTTGTGTGTGTGTACATTCGCATTCTATAGATCTATTTAAATTTTCCCTTTTGTTGTAGGACCTCAAGGAGTATTTAGACTTATCAGAAAACGGTGTGATATATATAAGTTTTGGTACCAACGTAAATACTTCATTGCTGATACCTGAAAAAGTACAAATAATGATTGATGTGCTTTCGATATTGTCGTATGATGTTTTGTGGAAATGGAATACTGATGAGCTACCTGGACGGAGCAAAAACATAAAAATTTCAAAGTGGCTACCCCAGTCAGATCTTTTGAGTAAGTAGAATAATTTAAACGCAAATACAACTAACGACACAAATTATGTTCCTCAATACAAAAACTTCAGATAGAAGGAACAAAAGGAAGATGAAACGCATGGAACGCGCAAGTTCGAAAGCAAATACAAAGTCAAAAGTAAAGACTTTTTGTCTCTGTGAACAGTTTTACAATGTTTGAACAAGGCGGCCCAGTTTTGATAAAAACATAATATTCACGGGTCGTATTCACAAAATGATGCGTTGTAGTGTACTGACGCGAGTTTATATTCGCTTTTGACTTGATTGTGTACCGTGCGTTCCATCTACCTTAAGTTCTGTAATCAGACTTGAACCCACTTACACTTACTACTGCAGAGTTCAGCGTGATCTACAACTTTTCGGTAATCGGCCTTTTCATTACGCTTATAAGTATTTGACGACATTCGTGGCCGAGTGGTATATACGCCGGGTTTCAAGGTATCGCCTACTCGAGAAGTCCCTGGTTCGAAACCCGGTGAGGGCAGATGTTTGTGTGATGATTACGAGCATTTGTACTCCAGTCATGGATATTTAATATTAATTTCTATATAATCATACTTATATATGTATCAGTATAAAAAAATGTATTCTATCTAAACCCTTTACCCTAGTATCCCATATCGCAAGCCTACAGTGCTTACCTTGGGGCTAGTCTAATTGGTATCTGTTGGAAAAAACTATTATCAAAATTATCATGTCAAAATGTTGGCTTGGTTATTAAACAGTAGTAGGATCAACAAATAAAAATTTATCAACATCCTGCTATGGATTCCCTCGTGTTTTAAATTTTGACTGGATATATCAGGTCAACTACTTTGTTTCTTCTTACTGCTATATATAGCCTTCTTCAAAATAAATTGTTACCTTTTTAATGTCAAAAATTTAAGGAATGAGTTTATTAAATTTGTATTGTATCAATATGATTCGCTTCAGAATTAATTAGTTAGCCAAATTATATAGAGGTCCATTTGTTCTAATCCATTTCTAGAACGCCGTCTCTCAAAACAAACAATAAAGGTTTCGAAAACAATGTTCCGGTTGACTGGTAGAGAGTGCCTAATGGCATTAAGTCCGCCACTTGAGCGCTCATTTGTGCAATTAAGTTTAAAAATATAAATAAAGGAACAACATATTATTTAATAATTTAAAATTACATTACATTTTTTTACGAAATATTCGTTTTATTTTATTTTTATGTTAATATTTCGTAAATCAAGAAACTATAAGTAATTCAGTAGATTCAGAGTAATTCACAACAGAAAGTGTATTCTTTCGCACCTTGTGCCGGCACGTCATGTGGCTAATCGTGTTTGCTCTTTGTTAGATATGTATCCACAACGGGCAGTGGCCATGTGAAGTTCCGGCCTAACAGACCCTGCCAGAATACCAGCGCTGCTGTGACACGCTTTGTAGCGTGTTGCGGCAGCATTACGCTGAGGCAGGGTCCTGATTGACCACAAATGGTGTATTTTTTTTCTCTTTTCTCCATTGTATAATTTTATATATTTTTTGTATGTTGTTTTGTAAATTTATTAATGTGGTCAATAAAAATGATTCTCTCTCTCTCTCTCTCTCTCTCAGTAAAATAATGCAATTTTCAATAACGATTTCATTATGAGTCCCATATAAATACACATTAGCAGCTTCGTGCTAAATCAGTTAAGATTGTTACAGCCCATAGGGATGCCGACAGTATATTTCTTCATCTATCAGCTATATTATCAAAAAGTATTGAAGACGCAGTTTTTATTTATTTACATAATTAAAACATAACTGACATAATAATGGTTACCCCGTCGTCACCACTATCCAATAATTTTTGACTTACTTCGGGCTTTTACTTCTAGGACACCCAAAAATCAAGCTATTCATCACCCAAGGAGGTCTGCAATCTACTGATGAGACAATCACTGCAGGCGTACCAATCATCGGGATGCCGATACTGGGTGACCAGTGGTACAACGTAGAGCAGTGCATCCATCACAAAGTTGGTGTTTACGTTGACATGGGTACAATGACTGAAGAGATTTTCAAACAGGCTCTGGATGAGGTTTTAAATAATGACAGGTAATGAAGCTGAATTGTAAGGTATTATCAAGAAATGCACGTCATGTAGATTAAAGAAGTGACAAAAGCAAATCACATGCCATGGAACAAAATATTCCACATTCCAACTGACATTATATTATTTGCAATGCATATTTTGACTCAAACATTTTCCGAAGTCTACTTCATTCAAGTAGTTTGTACGCGGACTTCACGGTGTTGTCATCTTTTAGTTTCATGTTTCAATCTTTGTCCGGAATAATGTTTTCTGCCTGGGCCATTGAACTAACATTCGCTGATTATAATTGCCTCGCCCTGACTGGCTGCTTGAGGAACTCGATGGCGCAAGTGGTTAGCGCGTTCGGCTGCGATCGTTGAAGTTAAGCAACTTTCGCAGTGGTCGGTCATTGGATGGGTGACTAAAAATTTACTACCTCAAGCCCCTCCGTGCTTCGGAAGGCACGTTAAGCCGTTGGTCCCGGCTGCATCTGCAGTCGTTAGCACCCACCAATCCGCACTGGGCCCGCGTGGTGGGTCATGGCCCAATCTCCCTATTCCATCCATAGGGAAGGCCTGTGCCCCAGCAGTGGGGACATTAATAGGCTGATGATGATGATGATGACTGGCTGCTTGTCTAACTTATTTGATCGGTTTTCTTCAAATTGCTTCACTGTAGGACCAGAGTCACTATGTCCTGTATTATTGTAAGATTACTTAATTTTGGATTAGTTTCTGGATATTGATTTTGAAAATCATCTCTTCTAGCTATCGTCGCAACATGCAACGCTTACGCGCACTAATGCGTGATCAGCCACAGACTCCGTTAGAACGCGCTGTCTGGTGGACGGAGTACGTGTTAAGGAACGGTGGAGCTCGCCATTTACGGTCACCATCCGCAAACATCACCTGGTCACAATACTTCGAGCTGGAACTAGTATTTTACATATCAATTGTGATTATAACACTTCTCGTACTTCTAGGTTATATTAGTCTTAAAGTTTTGAAACTTATTAAGAACGGTTTGTTTGCTAAGGCTAAGCTTAAATTTAGCTGAAGTAAATCTTTAGCATTTAGTTTAATTAAACGAAATATAAATCAGCAACTTAAATTTAGTTATTAAATCTGTAAAAAGTAGTATTAAATTCTTTGGTAGTTAAAATAAAGTTGAAATTGTACACATAAAAACTGTCTAGAAATCAAGTAAACCTTACCTTCTTTTATTACATGGTGATATGCATGACGTTATGAGTTATCTCGGACTCTCCCCTAACTTCTTAGATTGACTTTATAATATGAATGAAATTAATTTATTGGTATTATTTCAATATGATTCGCTTCAGAATCAATAAGTTAGCCAAATTACATAGACATCCATTCGTCTTGGCGAATTTGACATAAAAATAAAATGTTTCTAGCATTATAATAAACGTCACCGCAACATCATATGGAAGTTGTTTCAATAATGTTTTACTTGTTTTACATTAACAGAGCGAAGTGATTGCCCTGAAACATTGTAATTAATAATTATGTTTGTGAACGCCGTGTTTTGAAGAAGACTAATAACCCGAGCTTTGTTTGATGTTTACATGATAATCTCGTGATAAATTTGCTAATACAAAAGTAACATCAAATTTGCTTTGACTTGCCGCATGCAAATATCTGGTGGGGTTGGAATAGCATCAAAAAGGTTCATTAACACCAAGAGGCAAATTAATGTCATATGGTGTATGTAACCTTGGACTTGGAAATAGTGTTTTACTCTTATGCACCGTGAATTTTGAGTTATCTGCGTAAATTTAGTAGTGAATTCAGATAATGGTTTAGTTTTATATTTCAGCAAAAAAACCTTTAGTATTTTATCGAAAGTGTCTCCTCGTTAACTCTATAAATGTGCAAAATTAATCCTTAAGAATTTTAGTTGTTACTAGTGCGCCTACTTCGTTAGGCGGTAAACATGCTTACGACACGGTCGCGGTTCCATAACTGTCTTATTATCTCTTTAATCATTCGTTCAAATTCAATGCAGTAAAAGAGAAAAATCTTTTGTTTATACAGTTACACACATCAAAAGTGTCTAGGGATCAACATATATTTTTGCAATAACTTTTCTCCTGATTGATATTAATTAAAATTTTCTTTAAGGATTCATCAAATAAAGTGTTTTCGTTTGTCACAGTAACGATAAACCAAGTCACCTTTGCATTAATAAAGAAATTTGCCATTTTCCTAATAAAGGGATTTTTGACATTTGAACCACTAACACAAAAGTTCGAAAAAAAGACTGAAATAACAGTTTTCTCTAAAATTTTATTGGGTAACTTAAACAATTAATAATCCGTATTTCTACCGCGAACACTAACAACACAAGAACATCGGTTTGGCATACTCAAAATGAGTTCATCCAAATCACGCTGTGGAATGGCCGCCCATGTTCGTTGCAACAACAAAAAAAGGTCTTCTTGCGACTGGATACCCTCCATATTCGGCAGAGCTCTTCTCTGTAGCATATCCCATGCATGCTCAATCGGGTTCAAGTCTGGCGACTGAGCAGGCCAGGGCAGGACATTGATGTTA